TACTGTATCACTAAATGTACTGTAGGTAAAGCACAAAAAAATCCACACCAAACACAGGAACAGGTACAGTCGAAACCGAGAGCAATACGCATCAGCATCCCAAGAAGCCCGTCTGCCTTTGTTTTAGCCCATCGGAGACGCACCTCCATCTCTGCAAGTTTTAGCAGGTCTGATTTGTTTCATTGTTTTCGTTGATTTCCAAGTTGGTCGAGTTACGGTTGAACGCCTGTTGACCTATACAACTTTGAGCAGGAGCGGTTAAATTCCAAGATTTCAGTTGAAGTACAAGTTAAAAAAAAATTCGACAGACCCATTCGACGCCCAAGTTGGTCGAGTTAAGAGGCGTTTGAGTTCTAAGGTTCTACTTTACATTCAAAAGTACTGATCTTACAAAAACAACCTACCCTTTTAAATTCAGTCATGACAGGGTTGAGTATAGCATTGTAACAAGGGTGTAGATTCAGATATGGATGGTATGGACATGTGTTTAGTGGGGAGGGGGATTTCAGAGCAGATTTGGTCCCCACCAAGGTTCAAACCAAGTTACAGTGCATGACAGTTAAGGGCATTTTTTTTTTGAAAAAGCATGAAAATTGACGAGCTTCCTGAAGCACAAAAGCTGAATGAGTTTTTTAATCTCTGGAAAATGACAAAACATTAAATATGAGAAGCAACTTTGATATGTTAACCAACTATATCATGCATGTCTACAATTGTTTGTTTCATCTTCATAAAGACAATTTTTAATGGCAAAATATATCGTTCAAGAGTCGTGAGAGAAAAATCAAGATCTTGTTTCTGAATTAAAAAAATTTCGCAATTCATATTGTACCCAGAATCATGCAGCCCTACACTCAGCTGTCCTGCAAGCAATTATATATATATATATATATATATATATATATATATATATATATATATATATATATATATTTAAATGAGTAACAATGGTCATTCAGAATGTATCAGAGTAAAAGGCGTTATTCAGCTCAGAAATGTAAAGTAAAATATTCAAGTACAAATCCATAAAGAACCTAGTTAAGTATAGTAAAGTATTTGTATTTTGTTATTTTACATCTCTGAACAAAAGCAGCCTTAGTTTACATCCCAAACATTCGATTGCACTTCAATTGGTATGTCAGGTGGTAGTAATCAATTAATGTTTGCCTTGCAGTGACTGATTACAGCCAGTAGATGGCCCTTCAGGAGGCATGGGAAAAGTTGGATGCTGTAAACAACCTGGTTTTGAAGGTGAGCCCCTCCCCAACTGCCCACCTCTGAAGTATTTCAGGACTCAAATTGGCCCCCAAAAGACATCATTCCCAACCCCAAGGACATTAATCACCTCGAACAGTCTCTGATTAATATTATCATTATTATTATTATTATTATTATTATTATTATTATTATTATTAATAATAATAATAATAATCCTTTATTTGCCATCTGCACAAGTACAGGTATATTGGCATCGTTATCTTCACCTACCCATCTTGCTCTAAATAGCTTGCAGTCACAGCACAGGGTCAGCCAATGTGTGGCGTCCCTGGAGCTGGGGGTTAAGGGCCTTACTCAAGAGTCCACGGACATGAGGCTGTTCTGTAGAGGCGGGGGCTTGGACCAGTGACCTTCTGAACACAGGCATGGAGATTTAGCCCGCTGAGCCACTCAGTGCAGGACAATTAGCATGCGACTGATTTGGATTTCATTTGGTAAACAGATGTGTCATTCAGAGTACAGGACAAAGGGAAAAGCGCAACGCTGTGAAAGTGTTACTCACACACAAAAACTAAAGGTTCACACAGATGAAAAACTTCCTGACTTGACAGAGAACCTTTTTAAGAAACATTTTCCCCTCGTGCGCCTCATAAGGCTCATGCCGGACATTAGACCTGGAGACAGACACGTTTATACCAACCAGAGAGATCAGGGGCGACAGGGTATTGGTGTTAGGGGGCGGAGTCTCGGCAGGGGATGTAACCAGCCACAGCCCAATTCTTGCACCCCCACCCCTCCCGGGCAAACAGGCCCACAGTAAAGACAGCAAACACATGCGAAAGGCGGCTTTAACAGAGCAATAACTAAAAGAAATAAATGGTGAGACACCATTTCAATATGCATGAAGACGGAGGGATACGAGAGCAATTAAAGCAGGAAGTAAAAAAGACCAAACAAAGACATTCAGTAATTACTGAGCTGGGTGAGGATGGCAGCTACTTAACGCACACTGAAGGTACAGCCTCGAATCCCGTAAGGGTCATGCTGTTAAACGTAGAGGAGTATTCAACCTGTGCTGCTCCACTAAAACAGCCATTTCTATAGAAGTCGGGAGATGACTTGGATCGGCTGTACTAATGAGGTGTAGCAGAACGCCAACGATAAAATGAAATCTGGTAGTTTTGGTAAAAGTCTTAAGGGTTGTTTGGTTTCTTAGAGCTGTGTTAGATTTTCGGACAACGAGGGTCACAGACCCTGACCTGGTTGGGAAGGTGTCAGCGAGCCCAGTCGTTAAAAACGCTCATGGTTTTGCATCGCTGTGTCGCGCCATCCTGCATGGTCCCCTCCCCGTGGCGCTGTTGCCCCAGGTAACATGCCCCAGGCACCAGATGGTGGGATGTCAGCAGGGCGTCTGGCAGACACAGGTACGACACCCCAGCACATGTGGCACGGCGTGTCCGATCGCCACCCCCCACAACCCCTTCCCCGTTACCAAGCCCTCGTCCTTGGGGCAAACCTAGAACCCCATTCATCTGACGCACTCCGCAGGTTGGGGGTCATTGTGGGTTAGCATGTAAACCCGCTATGCGCGTAGTTTGGTTACTCTGTGTTAACCTGGCGCTTACTCCACACCCCCAAATTACAAGATAGGGGCTCACACCCAATCCAGCCTGAAGAGCACTCTGACAAAGAAAAATAAAAACACCCCGTGTGTGTGTGTGTGTGTGTGTGTGTGTGTGTGTGTGCGCTCCATGCGTGGGTTTGAGTCGCACCGCAGGGACTCGCTTTCCGAAAGCCTCACAGCTTCAAAGGCAGCCACTCCCACAAACAGATGCATGCCACTTGAAAACATTTCATCTGCATTTTTTAAACCAAACTAAAAGCATCATTTTTTGTTTACTGTCATTTTTTTTTTTTAGCTTGCGTGGGAGTTAAAACAAAAAACAACACAAACATTATTTCCATTAATTCCATCAAGTCCACACAGCGTCCACAAAGACAGTCACTACGTCTACATGCACAGCTAAGTCGAGCTACAGTTAGAGCTTGACTACACCATTTAATCGGACTACTGTCCTTGTCCCAGTATACATGCAAGGAGGGGAATCAATTTATTGACCGAAGTATGTCCAACTCCACTACAATAGGCAGCGATATGGTTCCTTTCAGCTTGTTAGTACTGGGCATTTTCCAGTTGACCCATTACATCATAGACGTAAAAAAATAATAATAAAATTAATAATAATTCATGTGTGGACGAATGAAGTGACAAAAGCTTTAGTTGGTCGGAAGAACAGATACAGCAAGATCAGGATAGTGTTGCGCCGGCGGGGTTGGAATATCCCAGCATGCCCTGTGTGCAATTGTAAATAGCCCCTGTTGTATTGTTGTTGTAGTTATAATTATAGTTGAATTTCCCTATTGTCGTGTGTATGTTTGCCCGTGTAGCATCATGTAAATTTCCCACCGCGGATGAACATTACAGTCCCGCATCCAACCACCCTGTCTTCTTACCGGTGTTTGCTGGGTGCCTGTTATAGTCCTGTTAAGGATTGCAATTAAAGAGTGGGAAAAATTTTCAAATATCGCAATGTGATTTTGTTGTAATATTGGGGTATTTATGAAACAAAAAAGGAGTTCAGCATAAATTTCTCACAAACCTCTCTAGGAGTGATTTAAACAGCAAGGATGAAAATGATAATGATTGTCTCAGAGAACAAATGCAGCAGTCATGCAAACTTTAAACCAATTTTTAAATACATACTAGATAATCGTGAAAATGCATAATCATTAAAATTGCTGAGAGTTTCCAATGACAGAGTAAAAATGTTTTACTGAGACAAACTCTTTGCATTATAATATCTGTACCAAATTGAAGGTAAGAAAAAGCCTGATCGTAATCTAGCTGACTAGGGATGTAAGAATTGGAAGTGCATAACATGCGATGTTGATATTAATATTGCACGTTGTCCAGTCCTACTACAGCCATTTCTTGAATTCAGTAGAAAATACCCTACTTCGCGTTATGACGTCATTTGGCGGTACAAGTTTTAACACCAGTGGAAAACCACCATCTTTATGTACTGTACTTTTGGTACCTTTTTGAAGTACCAAAAGTACGGAACCTGACATGGTGGAAAAGCACCAGAGAGAGAGACAGAGAGAACAGAGCAGCAGGGACCGGAGAGGCAAATCGCACATGACCTTTGGGTAAAAGCCCACATGGAGCCGCTCAGGTCCTAATACCTGAAGGGGTGACGTTCTCACAGAAACACAGCTTTCCTCACTCACAGAGACAAAAACGTGAGCCAGAGGCTGCTTGTGGGGTTCGGCACGTACCGGACCGGTCCCTTTCCCCCAGGATACATTACTTTTTATCTGTGTAGCTGGTTAGCAACCTCAGAGTCGTGGCCGCTGCTACAAAAAACTGATTTTGTTTTTGCACTACAAAACAGAACCATTTCACAAAAGCATCATCACCAGCCAATTAAGTACCACTTCCTTTATGAATATTAATTAGCTACCCCCTACCATCCTAGGTTTCAGAAATTTGTGTTTGGCACCCTACTCACAAACACGAACCAGAAGCACAGAAAGCCAGCTGTGTTAATGAGAACTTGCAAGAGCTTCTGTGATGGACTGAAGCGCAAAAACAGAATTTCGGAATTATGAGATAGAAATGTGTTTGTGACGTTGGTGGTAAGGTAAGACTGGCCCGTTCTGCAGCCCCCCTGACCGGTTCTGACCAGCTCCGACCCGTTCCAGGCAGCCCCCAAACTCACCTCCCAGTGGCTGAACACCAACTGGGGACTGGCCAGGCCGCTGGTGCGCTTCCTGATCTCATCTGCAAAGCCGAAACTCTCGGCTACCGGCAGCACAGCCTTGATGATGAAGACCTCGGAGCCCTCCTTCATCTCCTCCTGCAGGACGCGGCCCTCCCTCTTGGACAGGACGGCGTACACACGACCTGGGGGGTGCAAACAAAACGACACTTGATCAAGTGCACCCCGCAGCCCTTAAAAACCAGACCAGATTCCCGCAAGCCCAATATTTTGTAGGAGACAGGAAGTGTGACAATATTGCAGGAAACCGTGCTCCCGTTTCATAAAACTTTGCCAATACGTCTGGAACCTGAGGTGACAAAGAGCCTCAACAGCACGGCAACAGCTTTGTAAGGGAAAAACTTAACGTCCCGCTGTCACGCGTGTCAAACACGCGTCTCCGTAATTTCCTGACAATTAGCACTAAAAACACCGCCTGTCCCACATTTGTCATTTCAGGGATCATAGAATAACTAGAATCTGACGCTACATTAAATGTTATAATTGGGAGACCGAGGCAGTACGTGGTCTTTGAAAAGCCACTTTTTTGGAAACACTCCCTCAGAAATGTCCCCAGAACCTGCAGAGAGCATTTAAAGCAAAGCGGTAAAATGGGGTCATTTATTCAGACCCCCCCCCCCCCCCCTTACAGGGCGAGGACCTGCATGCCCAACAGCTTGCAGGACTACAGATGCAGCTTCCCCACCCACCCCCCACCCGTATCCTGGAGAACTGCAGGATGACATCACTGCAGCTGAACAAGGTCTCAGAGCTGCTTGCAATTAAGGACTGCCAGAGCTTTCCTGTATATGCCACTAAGGACAGGGAAGGGGTGACATCCATCCATCCATCCATCCATCCATCCATCCATCAGTCCATCCCCACTTATCCAGAACAGAGCCATACGGGGTGGAATGGGATGCCACACTCACACTCTATGGCCAGTTGAGACGTGCCACTTCACTTTGCATTGGGGGGGGCAGCATACTCCCCAAGCGCACATTCCCTCCAATTAGACGGCGCCCCCTTTCCTTATTGTGTATATATATTCTCTTACCTAAAACCTCAGCAGTAGCCATGATCTCGCAGGTGTACATGGCGGCCATGAGTCTCTGTGGCTTTGACTGGAAGGCGTAGCGACAGGCCTCCTTCATGGCCGCGATCAGCTGTCCGGAGAAGGGCCCGTAGCAGTCGGAGAGCGCCACGTCGGTCCTGCGTCTGGCCTGGCCCCTGCTGGCCGCCGCATCCCCTGACTCTGGGGTGTCCTCTTCAGCCTTCCCCTGAGCCCCACCCTCCACTGGAGCCCCGCCTCCTTCCATAGAGTCCTGTCTGGGGAACTTCATGTCCCAGCTCTCTACTGAGAAGCACACGCCCATCAGAGGCTCCTCGCACATGGGCCCTGCCAGGGTGGCCAGCTGGAAGCCGCTGACGATGCTGTTGTCAAAGTCCCTGTAGCCAGTGGTGCCACCCCCTCCGCTGTGCCCGCCAGCACTGCTGTCCCCACCCCCTCCGCTGTG